CCTACACTAGCTAATAATGAATTGGATCCCTCATCACCTTTTTATTTACACCATTCAGATAGTCCTTGAACTGTTCTTGTTTCTCAGGTTTTGCAAGGAGATAATTATCCCATATGGAACAGGGCCATAACCATGGCTTTTGAAGCCAAGAGTAAGCTTGGTTTTATAGATGATTGTATTTCACAACCAGCACCAACTTCTCCAAATCATGCAATCTAGAGTCAATGCAACAGTATGGTTCTATCCTGGCTTCTTAATGCTGTTTTAAAGGAAATTGCAAACAGTGTTGTGTTTATGAAAAATGCTCATGCTATGTGGATAAATCTACAGGCCTGTTTCTCCCAGCGCAATGCTCTTCGGATTTTTGAGATTCAGCGATCAATTGTGAATCTTCTACAGAGGAATGATTCTGTGACAACTTATCATACAGGGTTGAAAGCACTGTGGGATGAACTTGCCATTTATAAATCATATCCTACTTGCTCTTGAGGAGCAGTTGTTGAAATCACCACGCTAGAAGAGCAAGATCATCTAATGCAATTTTTAATGGGGCTCAATGATTCCTATGCCAATTTAAGGAGTCAGATTTTGCTAATGACACCACTACCAACAGTCACAAAAGCATTGTCTCTAGTGCTGCAAGATGAACAACAACAAAATATCCAATCTATTGCATCCCTTCCATACCCTTAGCAGTTGGCATTGGCAATCTCACATAATCATGGATCACAATCTACATATCATTTTAATCAACAGAGTTGAAATAAATCTGGTCGACCATTCTATCATTGTGACTATTATGGATTAGATGGACATTTTGAATCACAGTGTCACAAGAAGCTTGGAAATCCTAATTATCAAACAACATCAGTAAAGAATGATTTCAAAGATTTTGGTTCTCGTTTTCAATGAAACTTTACTGAACAGCGTACAGCTTCTTCTATATCACAACTAATAGCTGTTGCTGTTGACCATGGTGAGAAAAGTTCTAATGTAAGCTCACCTTTCACTTAGGACTAGAAACAACAACTACTCTCTCTTATTCAACCTAGTGTCTCTACCTCCTCCAATCCACTTATTAATATGGCAAGTATCAATACTAATTTTTCAAATATGAATGAGCTTTGGATTGTAGACTCGGGTTGCACTAACCATATTGTAGGATCTTTCACAACCTTAGAAAACTTGCAACCTTATTTTGGTCCTCCTATGAAACTTCCCAGTGGCAATTTTGTCCCTGTTACACATTTTGGTTCACTCTATTTTAATTCCACTTTTCGTTTAGAAAATGTTCTTTATGTTCCCTCATTCAAATTCAACTTATTATCTATTCACCAAATCACTAAGGCACTTCATTGTTATGTGATTTTTCTTCCTAACTTGTGCATTTTCCAGGACTTGTCGACAAAGAAAGTGATTGGTTTGGCGAAAGAGCATGATGGTCTCGACTACCTTGCACCTTCCATAGCCTCGTTTATCTCCCTTACTACTATTTCCAAACCTGTGGCAGACCTCTGGCATTTTCGACTAGGTCACCCAAGTGAGGGTGTTTATCTTAGTTTTACTCATCTTGATAGTACAGTTTCTTTTAATAAAAACTCTTGTATTATTTGCCCTTTGGCAAAACAAACAAGGTTATCTTTTCCCTTAAGTTCAATAACAAGTACTCAGTGTTTTGATTTAATTCACATCGACATTTGGCATCCTTATTTTACTCTTTCTCTTACTGGAGCTCAATGTTTTCTTACTGTGGTGGATGATTTTTCTCAAAATACTTGGGTATTTTTAATGCAGCATAAATTCCAAGCATGTCTTCTTATTCAAAATTTATTTTCTATGGTCCAAACACAATTTCAAACCACCATCCTAAGGGTTCGTAGTGATAATGGTTCAGAATTTTTCAGCTAGCAAATAACTACCTTTTTTAATTCAAAAAGGGTTATCCATGAACAAAGTTGTGTGGCCACACCCCAACAAAATGGGTTGTTGAACGCAAACATCATCATTTGTTAAACATGGCTCATGCTATTCGTTTTCACTCCAATCTTCCTCTCAAATTCTAGGGCGAATGTGTTTTAACTGTTGCTTATCTCATAAATAGAACACCTTCTAAACTCCTTCATGGCAAAACTCCCTTTGAGTTGCTTTTTCAAAAGAAACCCACATATTCTCATTTACGAGTGTTTGGTTGTTTAGGTTTTCGAAGAAATATTCCTATCATACACAAATTTGATTCTCGAGCTCTTCCTGGCATCTTTGTTGGTTATCCTTTTAGACAAAAAGGATATAAGATTTTTGACATTAAATCCCAAAAAATTATATGTGAGTTGTGATGTTAAGTTCATGAAGACATTTTTCCTTTTCAATTTGTTTCTTCTAAGGCAAGGTCTTTGCTACTCTCGTTGCCAAGTCCATATTACATACCAACTAATACTACTATTTTTCCATCCTCTCCAGATACCTCAACTCCAGCCCTTGTCACAAAAGATTCTTCTCCAGTAGTACCTCTTATCGAGACCTCTACTACATTACCTTCTCTTGAATCACCAGCTTCACCACATGTCTCTGAACCACCACCTATTGTCCTCCCAGAATTACGACGTTTTTCGCGTCATAAACAAGTTCCCACAAGGTATAAGGACTATCACTGCTTTAACGTGCATGATCAATCAGCTTATTCCTCCTCAAGTACTCCTTATCCTATTTCTAATTATCTATCCTATGCTCGATTCTCTCATGCTCGTTGTTCCTTCCTTAATACCATTGCTTGTGACATTGAACCATCCTCCTTTACCCAAGCTATTCACTGTCTTGAGTGGAGAACAGCTATGCAAACGGAACTTCAAGCCTTGGAAGACACACAAACATGGTCACTGGTTCTTTTACCACCTGATAAGAAGCCAATTAGTTGCAAATAGGTCTATAAGATCAAATGAAAATCTGATGGCAGCATAGAGAGATTCAAAGCCCAGCTTATAGCCAAGTGATACACTCAAGTAAAGGGAATTGATTATCATGACACTTTTGCCCCTATTGCAAGGATTGTCATTGTTCATATTCTTTTGGCCATTGCAGCTGTTAACTAGTGGCCTTTGCATCAAATGGATTTTCAGAATGCTTTCTTACATGGTGATTTACAAGAAGAGGTATACATGAGACTTCCACAAGGTCATTCTCAATAGGGGGAGCATAATCTTGTTTGTAAGCTTAATCGATCTCTTTATGGTTTGAAACAAGCCTCTTGGAATTGGTTTTCCAAGTTTTCTAATGCCTTGCTTGCCATTGGTTTTCAACAATCTCTAGCGGATTACTCTTTATTTCAACTAGACCGAGGCTCTTCCACCGTCTTCATTTTATGATATGTTGATGACATGATTCTTACAGGCAACAATCTTGATCTCATTGCTCGTGTGAAGGAATTTTTATTCAGTCAATTCAAGATTAAGGATTTGGGTTCACTTAAGTATTTTTTGGGTATTGAAGTAGCTCGCTCCCACTAAAGCATTTATCTATCTCAACGCAAATATACTCTGGATCTTCTTGATGATTCTGGTCTTCTTGGCTCCAAAACTGTTGACACGCCAATGGAAACAAATCTTAAGCTTACTGCGACTGATGGTCTGTTGTTGGATAATCCTTCCCAGTATCATCGTTTGGTCGGTCGTCTCATTTACCTCACCGTTACCAAGCCAGATATATGTTTTATGGTAAACATTCTTAGTCAGTTTCTACACTCACCAGGAAAACCTCATTTGGATGCAGCACTCCGCCTTCTTCGGTATTTAAAGACAAATCTAGGCCAAGGAATTCTTCTTTCTTCTACTAGTTCATTAGATTTACATGCCTATTCGAACTTGGATTGGGCTAGCTATGTGTCTACTCGATGATCCACTACTGGCTACTTAATTTTTCTGGGTGCTAGTTTGATTTCATGGAAGAGTAAGAAACAGAATACCATTGCACTTTCTTTTGCTAAAGCCGAGTATAGGGCCGTGGCTTTTACCACTAAAGAGGTCATTTGGCTTTGCAATTTATTACACAGTTTTGGTATTCACCAATCTCACTCCACACCTCTTTACTATGATAATTAGGCAACTCGACACATTGTTGCCAATCCTATCTTTCATGAAAGGACAAAACATTTGGAAATTGATTGTCATTTAGTGTGTGAGAAATTTCAAGCTAGTATTGTTTGTCCATTACCCATCTCTTCCTCTCATCAACCAGCTAACATTTTCACAAAGGCATTGGGCAAGGATAGTGTTTATTTGTTATGGGACAAGCTAGGCATTCATGACTGTCATGCACCAACTTGAGGGGAAGTGTAAACAATAACTGGTATAATAATCTGGTATAAATCCCTTAGAATCAGGAGCATATATGTATACAGTTATAATTCTCCTAGACTATAGGCACAAGATTAGCTAAGTTATGATTTTGATATGGTTCTTTTGTATATATATGTAAAGTGACATACATTATGAATAATAAGATACATTTAGCAATTTTCACTTAGTTTAGAGTTGGAATTTAATTTTTTTTTAGTATTAATCCCTAAATTTAAATACCTAATCTAATTAAAAAATGACACATATGCCCATAAATGTAAGTTATGAAGTCTATAAATTTTTTGGTAGGTTACATTTGCCTTTTTAGATCAAAATAACTTGAATCGAAATTCTTGAGTAAACAGTAAATACTCCCTCAATTTTAAAATAAATGAGGTTTTAGGGAATTATATATAGATTAATTAATAAAGCAAATTAGATGTTTGTTGATAATAATACTGACAATAAAGGTGTTTGTTGACCACAGTTGCTTTCTATACCAGTGCATAATTAGATGGAAAATGTGCATATATATTGGATAGGAAAAGGAGAAAATATATTAAATAATAAGAAAGTACATAAGAAACTCCATTGTAGGGCATATAGCCTAAAAACAAAATCAAAAGCATAATCTACAACACTAGTAACAGATTTAAACTATATTCATGATGAATATAGACAACTAAGTAAAAAGAGCCATCTGCAACCAGAGATTGTGATTGCAATTGCAATCGCTGTATGAGCTAAATAAGACTACAAATTTAGAAATGAGAGTCACTATGAGCATTAGAAGCTATTAAATACCCTCACTTATTTAACCAGCTTTATGGGGAGAGCAAGGGATTCTGGCAACAAACAGTCCCCAACCTACAAGTTGCCATCCTATTTTTTCCTAAAAATTAACCAACAAAAGAGGGGCATGGTCCCTTTTTATGCAAGCACAAGGCACCCCAGCTTCTCCAGGTGCTCCCAACCATGGTTCCCATCTTTTCCAATCCTCTTCAAGCCATTTTTGTTGAAACTTGTTAAAGGAAAGAGCCCTTTTACCATCCTTAATATTATTCTTCCCATGCATAACACAATCAGCCTCACTAACAGTATCCTGTTCCTTTTTGCCAATCCTTCGTACTAGAGCCCCTTTGTCG